AAATCAAAAGTTATCAAAACAAATTCTATGGGACTGAGAAATATTATTTTCTACTTTTTAGTCCATTTATAAAAGCGTTGTATATTAAAAAGTTTTTTTTTATATTATTTATTAATACTTGAATACGTAGTGAATTTTTAGAAGAATAAGCTTCTTTTATTTTTATTTTTGTAATAAAGTAAATATTTTTCTTTAAGTTTTTACTAAAAAATTACAATAAGTTCGCTATATAGTCCCCTAAATTGGATGCATTTCTCTCATCCGGTGTATCGTCCGACTCGACGTCGCTTTCTTCAGCGCCGTCTATCAAGAGCAAATCCGGTAGTTTATAAATTATAAGTATAAATTATAATACTTGCAAATGTTATGTAGCGCGTAGCACACATTAATTATTTGTACGACTTTTTGCGGCTGGCATTGTAAATGACGAGCTAAGCATCTAAACCGGCTTTCTAATACACCAATCGTCCTCTCTATTATGTTGCGTGCGGAAGCGTGTCGTTGGTTGAACCCTTATTGCACTGTCCCAGGCTGTGGATCCCGATATGGTGTTAGTAAGTACGGTTGAAGGGGGTAGCCAGCATCTCCCAAAAGCCTGTCTCCGCGCTTACCGTTCTCATAAGATTGGGAAAAGTAGGTGTGTCATTTGCTTTCTCTCCAAATCAAAGAGTCGTGGCAGGACCCTGGGCACCGGGCATCCTCTGCATTTATCATTTGGTAATCGCAAATCTGGAAAAAATGGAAAAAAACAAAATTAATTAATAAGCATGTATATGAAATTTTACTTCTTACAATCATAGCGTTAATGCTAAAATATCCTTTTCTATTGTAAAAAAGGTTAGGGTCAATATGCGGCTTGGTGATCCTTACGTGTGTCCCATCCACACAACCTATTATGCCAGGGATTCCAAACTTTTGCATAAAGTGGCGTTTCGATTGGCTACGTTTAGAGTTCGTGATATTTAGTTTAATCCACACTGGACAGACATACTTTTCAAGAATAGCAAGGAATCGTTTTAAACTTTTTCCAACAGTGCTTCTTCCCAATGCAACATCAGTCTTTTGGAAACCGCCGTCTGCCAAAAATCGTAGCGTACACGCCAGCTCAATACAAGGGGAAATCGACGACCTTTTATTTCGTGGAGTAATAATTTCCAGTAACATCCGAAATGCGTATTTTGTTAACTCTGTAGTACGACACAAATCTATAAACTGTTTGTAAGTACGTTATTAATTTCACAACGCAATTTTCTAACACTTACGTCGTCTCATTCAGCTCGAAAGGATTAGAGCTGTATCTTAAAGTTCGCCGCCGAATAGCTTCAACGGAGTATTCATTATTTGTATTTCCAATTAAAGCTAACAACGCCATTTAATTTTATTACATTTATTGGTTTTAGGAATTTTTAAAAAACTTGTCACGTTTTTATCTCTAGAAATCCAATAAAATCTTTACATTTCATTTTACAATGGATAATGAACAATAACATAAATCAGCTGTTTTCGAACAAAATGAAAACGCAAAAAAATGTGTGGTTTGTAGAGCACCAATAGCAAAATGACTTCGATTCAAAATGAACTTGAATTCGAAATCGAGTCGAAAATCCAGAGCATGCCTGTAAGAAAGAAAGTCGCACCAATTTTTCCCAAATTTAGTTTTTAATTTTTACTCAAAATCAGACCATTGTTTGACACTTTTCATAAGAAACCAAAAAATACACGTAAGTGTTGTTTTTGCTCTAATTGCTGATACTATTTTTTAAGTTGAAATTTCTTTAACTGTTTCAAAAAATTTCAAAAGGTTAGTGATCTTAGTTATGAAGGTACCCATAATTCAACACATAAATCATGACTTTCAATCACTTCACTTCTTTAGCTGACAGATTTCATTATAAAGGGCTACTCAATCAAGAAAAATCAAAAGGTGTTAGAGAGCTTAAAAATGCTTGGTCCTGTGGATATTCAGAACCGCAGTATCGATGCCATAGTAAACATTTTCTTATCCGGGCAACATATTAACCATTTCCTTATTAACTTTCGTACAGTGCTTATTTCTTGGACACGAAATTGCGCAATCCTTCAAGTGGTTTTGATTACTTACACCAGGCTGTGGCTGAACGACCCAGTCTACTAAATCTACATCTCGCAAATAGACTCTTAGTGGAGTTATCTTAATTTTTGAGTCTGGGGAGAGCTCTCGATCTTCTCTAACTTGCAAAAGAAATTTGAAATAATCTCACTTTTTTTTAAGAATTCGTCGGCAATGATTTTTTTTAGTTTTCCAGGATTTTAAAATCATATATGTCAATTTGAAAATAAAAAAATTAAGTTTTTCAAAAATATTGCTCCCAGTACACCTTCGTAGTCCGATAATAGACCGAAAAAGTGGCTTTACGGTTTTTTAAAATGTTCTTAATTTTGTTTATAATTAATAAGTAGTAAAGTGTTGTCATCATTTATTTTTATTGAAAAAATGCTAAATTACAGATTAACATATTATTCAGTAAAAATCGGATAACGGAAAAATCCTGAAGTAAATCAAAAAATATTTTTCATCTTGTTTAAAGTACGTTCCTTTTAGGTTTGGAACCACTTTACGCCCGCTCTATGGAATTGATATGCCAGATCCAGCATATTTTTTATTAAGTACATCTGAAAAGTTCTAAAGTTAGACAAAAGTAATTTTTTATGCATTATTACTTACCTCTAAAGGCATTTGAAATTGCCATAACGTCAACAGCTTTTTTTGCGGTATCCCTCTTCAGGAATATTCGAAAACGACGATCAGTTTCTTCTTGATTGAAAATTTCTTTTTCAAATCACAGACTAGATAAAAAAAAAACAAAAAAAAAACACTTTGATTCCCTTCTCACTCCATATTCGGAGCACTTCGAAAACACTCATTTGAGGTGTTAACGTGGGAGTCCCTTTTCACTATAACGTGACGTGAGCGGACGTGTTTTTGTGAGCGGCTGATTTGAATCAATAAGTTAGTCGTTGAAATAATCAAAATAGCGAAAAAGGACGCATATTTACTTTTAATTAGTGGCATGAGTGCAGTGAAATAGCTTTGAGATGGGCTTGAAGTGCGGAAAATGCAAAGTAAGCTCGCGGGATGCCACCCTCCCGTGTAGTGGAGTGTGTGGAGGAGTCTTCCATGCTAAATGTATTGGCTTTTCTAAGTACGAGGTGGATGCCCTATTGAAGCACCCCAATCTAAAATTCCAGTGTGATTCGTGTATTGATTACATTAAATTGGCGCATAATAATTACACTGAATTAATAGGATTGATTAAAGGCAACGAAAACAAATGTGCAAAACTTGTTGAAGAAAAAATGAATATGGTGAACGAAACGGTAAAGCAAATTAAAACAGCCATAGCAGGCCAAATTCAAAATAAAGAGAGCCGTGTAGAAGTAAGAGCAAGCACATATGCCGACCAAGTGAGAAAGCCAATAGCGGGAAATATTCCTGTCATATTGAAGCCAAAAAGAAACCAAGAAAGTGAAGTAACGAAGAAAGAAGTAAAAACAATAATCAAACCGTCGACGTTGAGTGTAGGTGTGAGCGGAATATCAAATAGGCAGAATGGAGCAGTGGCAATACGGTGTGAAAGTGAGGAAGCGAGAAAAATATTAGCGAGCGATATTAGAGAAAAAGTGGGTGAAAAATACGATATACAATTACCGAGCATGAGAAAACCGAAAATTTTAGTATGTGGATTGAGCGAAATGCTTGACGGGGAGGTAATAACACAAGCCATAAAAAACCAAAACAATTTGCAAGATAGCTTCATCAAGTGTATAAAAGTATATATGTAGATCCCACAAGAATACAACTGTGTACAATGCATTGCTAGAAATTGATGGTAAAGGGTTTGAGAAAGTAATGAATACGCAAAAGTTAAATATTGAATGGGATAGATGCAAAGTATATGAAGCTAACAATGTTCTAAGATGCTATAAGTGCTGGGGTTTTAACCACAAAGCCGCCGTTTGTAAAGAAAGTGAGCAAACATGTGCCAAATGTGGCGAAAAAGGACATATACACCGGCAGTGTAAAAATGATTTTCTGAGGTGCGTTAATTGTGTAAAAGCAAAAGAAAGATTTAATCTATCGGACCTATGTGTGAATCACGACTGCAGGGACACTAATTGTCAAGCATTAAAAAAAAAAGTTAAAAATTGAATTAGAAAGAATTCAGTATTAGCAATTAAAGTCGACGACTAAATGTCTGTACTTGAATATTGGTGGTATTAGGACAAATTTTAACCAGCTTGAAGCTATATCATATTCTACAAGATTCGATTTTATCTGTGTGACCGAGACTCATCTAACAAATTCAACAAGCAACAGTGAAATGAAACTCAGTGACTATAAAATAGTGAGATGTGATAGTATATCAAGTCACACCGGCGGCGTTCTTTTCTATATAAGCCCTGAATGGCAATGTGAAATAATAGAGGAGACGGCTATTGGGAAAAGTATATGGTGTCTAATTATAAAGGTCAAACAAAAAAATGTAAATATGACGTTATTTGGATTGTATCGGTCGCCTGACAGGCAAAAATCTCCAGACAGTGTATTTTGTGATTTTTTTAAGGAAAAAATTGAACAATTAAGTGAGACGGCTACAGAAACTCTGATAATGGGAGATTTCAACATCGACTGGCTGGTGAATAGTTCTTCCCGACAACAAATTTGTCAATCAGTAACAGTCAATGCATTTAAACAAATAACTAGTATTGGAGCCAACGAGAGTATCTCGAACCAGTGCAACCTTCATAGATTATGTATTGACAAACATTTCTGTCATAGAAGCAAACGTTAAGACTGATTATAAAATAAGTGATCACGAATCCATAGAAATTAATATAAAAGTCGGACAGCTAAATCGCAAAAAACACAAAACCACTATAAAAAATTTTATTTTTAACAAAGAGCTATATATTGAAGAAATAGCAAACAAAAGTTTTGCAAACATTAAGCAGAATGCTAATAACTTGAACGAGATGGTTGACCTGTTCAGTGATAAATTAAAAGAGCCCATTCAGAATATGGTTATAACTAGAACAGTTACAAACAGAAGGAATTTTGATGGGTGGTTTGGAAGAAAATTACGCAATATGAAACAAAGAAAAATTCAATTATATAATGCAGCAAAATGGTCCAGCTCTTTTATGGCCTGGCAAAAGTATAAACAGTATAGGAATTTCTATGCTAATGAACTTCAAAGAGCGCGAAATAACTACATATCCAAAAAAATTGATGCATCAAATGACCAAAAGATAATGTGGAAAACAATAAAACAATTAGTGTTAAATGAGGAGAGAGCCGAAATATGCAAAATAATCGTAAATTCCAAAGAGCAAAAAAATAAAGCAGTAATTGCTAACGAACTAAACAGGTTTTTTGTAACAAGCATCGACGACCTCAATAGAAACATCCCCCAAGTGCCCTATACCAGCAATATAAAACCCTGTGATACGCAATTTAAATTTAACCCCTTAGAGTTAAACGACATCAAAAGCATACTTAAATCCATGAACAATAAGAAAGACTATAACTTTATTTCGGCAAAAATTATACTGAGCGTATTTCATATAGTAGGTCCAATTCTTCTTGAAATCATTAATGCATCTCTACAATATGGAGATTTTCCCAACAAGTGGAAAAGGTCAATGGTAGCGCCTGTGGAGAAAGTAAAAAACGCGGTTAATCCAGAAGAATTTCGTCCAATAAATATGTTAATGACTGAAAGCAAAATACTCGAAAAAGTTGTTCATAAGCAATTAGAAGCCTATATGGAGAACAATCATCTGATCTCTGAACACCAATCGGGATTCCGACAACGCCACAGCTGCGAGACGGCGCTAAATTTAGTAGTATCACATTGGAAATCAGAAATGAACGAAGGAAATTGTATAGTTGCTGTATTTTTGGATTTCAAGCCAGCTTTCGAAACAATTGATAGGGATATCCTATTAGAAAAAATGAAGCGTTATGGAATTGGAGGTGTTGAAAATCAGTGGTTTAAGAGTTACTTAAGCAACAGATGGCAGTGCACCAAAGTCTCCGAAACCGTCTCGAGTCCTCGGCCAGTAATGCTAGGTGTACCCCAAGGCGCAGTGCTTGGTACTTTACTCTTTTTAATATACATAAATGATATGGAAAATATACTACAGGGAGTAAGGATCTGCCAATTTGCTGATGACACGTTATTGTATACGACCGGAGATTCATGTCAGGAATGTATTACTCGGTTAAATGAAAACTTGAAATATGTCAATATATATTTAAATATGAACAAGCTAAAACTTAATGTTAGTAAAACGAAAGCAATTGTAATCAACGGAAAAGCGCATTATGATCTGATTATCAACGATGA